CTTACAGTTACTTAAGTCAATCATATATCTTCTATTTGTGTAAATATATAATCATGTACATATTTAAACAAATTAATTGTATAAATATGTCATAATTATAAAATCAACAAGTTTATTTGTCTTTCTATACATCCTCTTATCTTCCCTTCTTTTCCCATCTCTATTCAGTTCAGTTCCCTGCTACCTTGCTTTATTCTTTCGCCCTTCTCCATTCACTCTTCTAATCCATTCTTCCAACTTCTTTCCTTGTCCTTCACATCTTTCCTCAATCCCTCTATAATTCCTCATTCTTCCCCCTACCACCTATCTACGTTCTCGTACCATCTTCTACTTTCTTATCCTTCCTTCTAAAATTTACCTACCATACTCCTACCAAACTCTTCCATTCATTGGAAGGTAGTGGGTGGAGGGAATAAGAATTTCGGTTTTAATTGTTGTATTTTAACTTGTTGTACGCCGCCCCGATTGCTCTGCAGAGGGGCGGGTTACAAATAAAATTTATTATTATTATTATTATTATTATTATTATTATTATTATTATTATTATTATTATTATTATTATTATTATTCCTACTTCCTGCTTGTCTTCCCTGGATTATTTGATAATACTTCAATAATAAGGTATAAAGGAATAAAATAAAAACAGCCGACAAAAATAAATAAATAAATAAACATAAAGGAACAAGATAGCAGGAATGCATATACTTTAATATTAAATAAAGGCAAAGCAACAACTAAGGTAATATACATATGGATCACATAATAGAAAAGAAAACAAATGTGACTAAAGCCTCAATTTATGGTTTTTGACATCTTGAGGAAACCGGTTATATAACTGGTCTAAGGAGTTTATCACATGCGACAAATCCCATGCAGAAACTAGATTTAAAGTGAAAACAATCCGCTTTTGCAGGTTGTTTTTCAGACAACGTTTGCGTGAAAGAGAAATGATGTGAAAATAACCCAAATGGAAAGCCGACAAAAGCCGCTACTTTTTACTTTGGGGAACTTCCAAATCAACCTGAAAAATAAAAAGGAGCGGGTTTTGGCAACTTTTCGTTCGGGTTAACGTCGCATTATTTCTCCTTTACACAAAGACGTCTGAAAAACAGCCTGCTTTTGCAGGGGTTTTCAGATTTTTAAATCCCATTTCTGCATGGGATTTAAGCAATTTGCCTCTGTGTGATAAGGCCCTAAGAGAAAATCAGAGAATTAAAGACTTAAGGAGGACTGAAGTATCCCACAGGGTTCTTCTTATGTTTTGCAGTAATATAACACAATATGACAGAAAGAATGCTGACACTGGAGACTATCGCACTCGGTTATAAACCGACTTACCTGAGCCGGCTTAAAATTAGAAGCGGGTGGCATCCTGATAGTATCATACACATTTAGCTGCTGAAATCATTGCCCGGCTGCATCCCGGCTCCATCGCTGCTCCAAGGGGCGCTCCTCGCACCTCTTTTTGAAGTTGGGAGTTTTCTGGCTTGAAAAAATGGCCGCTGGAGCTACCTTCTGAGCGGCAATGGAGCCAAGCTGCAGCCGGGCAGTGATTTCAGCAGCTAAATGTGTCTGATACTATTAGGATGCCGCCCACTTCTAATTTTAAGCCGGCTCAGGTAAGCCGCGTTATAGCCAAGTGCGATAATCTTTTTAGTCTTCTTCTGAGCCAAAGCACAGTGCAGAAATAATCAAGTTTGACACCACTTTAACTGCCCTGGCTTGATGCTAGGAAATTCTAAGAGCTGTAGTTTTGCTCTCACTGTCAGAGAACTCTGGTGCCACCACAAACTACAGTTTTTCTAATTTTAAGCTGGCTCAGGTAAACCAGTTTATAACCGGGTGCGATAATCTTCACTCTGTGTATAGATTTCAAAGTGCAGTGGGAGGCTATACTTATTTTCCTTACAGAATGCATCTAGTTCGTAACAGAGCATCTTTCTTTCTTTTTCCTTTTAAAAAATGTATTCAAGTTGCACGAACAAAACCAAACAAATAACGAAATGCACAAACAGGCTTAGGATATGGATTAACACAAAAGCATGCATAACGGACACTTAACAGGCTATTCCATTGGAGTAGTTCAGCTCATCTTTATTATGGTCATAGACCAACACAGGTAAAAAGGGGATACAGAATTAAAGAAGGTAAAAGCAAAGTAAACCATTGGAGTAGATATCCGGGCAGTATGGGGTGCTTCTGACGAAGATGAGCACAAAGTTCTCTGAGGGAGCTTTCCATGATGTGGTCAAAGGAGTTTATCACATGGGAGACT